CATGCCCACCATAAAAGATTTCTACAAATAAGAGAGCAGATAAATAACAGTGCAATTATAGTGCAGGTCCATAATATCTCATTATCACAAATAGATCAACAAAACAAAACAAAATCAACAAAGAAAAATGAGAGTATAACCAAACTTTCAAACAACTGGACCCCAAAACAATAAAATATTCATTAAAATATTTACTCTTGGCAGCAATGGAACTCTCTCCAAAAAATACCACATGGAAAAGAGTTAAAATTTTGCTACGCATATTACCAGATCATAGTGCAATGAAACTAGATAGCAGTGGCAAAATAAACCGTGGAAACTATGCAAATGCAAGGAAATTAAACACATTCTTGAACCATCCATGGGTCACAGAAGAAATTAAGAAATATGATAGTTTCTACAATTAAGTGATGATATCAGTACAACATGAGAACTTATGGGAAATAATGAAAGCAATCCTTAGAGGGGAATTTATATCTGTAAATGCAAACATCAGGAAAAAGAGAAGGAGCCCAAATAAACAATCTAGTGATGTACCTCAAGTCACAGAGAAGCAAGAACAATAATAACCAGAACTAGTGCAAGAATGGAATTTATAAAGATCAGCACAGAATTCAATGATATTGAGACTTAAAAAAATACAAAGAATCAATTAAACATCGTTGAAAGAATAAACGAAAGATGAAACCTTAGCCAATTTTACCAAAAAATAGAAAGAAAAGACACAAATCAATACAATTAGAAATGAAAAAGGTGAAACCACAACAGACATTGCTAAAACCCAAAATATTATTACCAACAACTTCACAAACCTCTACATCAATAAATCAGAAAACTCAGAGGAAATAGATTCCTAGATACATATGAACTGGCAAACCTGAACCAAGAAGACTAACAATCCTGAATAATCCTATAATAGGCAATGAAAATGAAGCAGTAATAATTTTTTAAAACCCAAGAAAGCCTAAGACCTGATGGATTTGTTGCCAAATTCTACAAAAACTTCAATGAAGACCTAACGCCAATACTTTTTGAACTCTAATGAAATTAGAAGGAAATTACTCCTCACAAAGTTATTCCTAAAAGCTACCATTACCCTGACTCCAAAACCATACAAGGTTTCAACCAAAAAAGAAAACTGTAGACTAATCTCTTTAACAAAGATAGATTTAAAAATCCTCAACAAGATATTGGCAAACACAATGCAATAAATATCAAGATCATAAACCATGACCAAGTAGACTTTATCCCAGGGATGCAAGCATGGTTCAATATACACAAATCAATAAATGTAATTCATCATATAAACAGAAGGATAAAAATCATACGATCATCTCAATAGACAGAAAAAGCCTTTGACAAAGTCCAACATCCATTCATGATTAAAAACTTTGGATAAAGTAGGAATAGAAGGACTTTATCTCAATGGGATGAAAAGCCATTTATGACAAACCTACTAACATCATACTACATGAGGAAAAACTGAAAGATTTCCCTCTAAAATGAGGACAAAGATATCTACTATCACCACTCTTTCTTAACATTGTTCTCGAAACATTAGCCAGAGCAATCAGGCAAGAGAAAGAAATAAAATGGACACTTATATGTAAGAAAGGAAGAACTCAAAGTACTTCAGTTCACAAACATAATTCAGATTGTGTTCAGCAAGAAAAATGGCTGTTATCATGTTCATCACCCAATGCAGTTTGTAAACTAAAAAACCTAAAATTCTGCCAAACGCATCTGTTTGCAAATTGTTTGCAAACACAAATGTTTGCGAACTGAGGTACCACTACATTATTATGTGCAAATGACATGATCCTCTACTTAAAAGACCCAAAAAAAAACTCCCCTAAAACTTGTAAAATGACAAAATTCAGAGATGTAACAGTATAAAAACACAAAAATCATTAGTGTTCCTATATACTAATGACAGAGAAAGAAATTAAGAAAACATACCACTCACCGTAGCATCAAAAAAATTTAAATACTGAGTAATTAACCTACCCAAGAAATAAAAGACCTCTATCACAAAAATTACATCCCTCTGTAAAGGACAATGACGAAGATATCAGAAAATGGAAAGATATCTCATGTTCCTGGATAGGAAAAATGGCTACAGTTTGCTACAGTTCCAAAACTGATATATAGATTTAATGCAATCCCAATCAAAGCATTCTTCACAGATCTAGAGAAAATAATCCAAAAATTCACATGGAACCAGAAAAGATCCAGAAAGCAAACACACTTCTAGGTTACAATAGCAAAGCCGAAGGCATCTTAATCCCTGATTTGAAGTTATATTATGAAGCCACAATGATTTAAAAAAGCATGGTAATAACACAAAAACAGAAATACAGATTAATGGAGTACTATAGAGAAAACAGAAACAATTGCAGATACATTCTCCGCAGGAAAAACATGCACTGGAAGAAAAATGGCATATTTAACACATTGCTGCTGACTGCATGACTGGCCAACACTTCAGGCAGTCTGTATCATTGGAAGTACATACATGACCAATAAAAGTGATCAGAGGGGACACTGGGGGCAGTCATGCCTGTACTACTGGTGACTCAAGCCTGCAGGAATGTAATACGTTCATATCAGAGTTACTTGGATATAAGACATCCAAATTATGGCCCTATCATGAATGTGTCAATAATTGGATATGCACATGTGAAAGATTCTGTCTAGATCCATACATCTCACTATGTACCAAACTAAAATAAAAATGGACCAAAGATCTAAATGGTAAAACAGAAAAAATCTGCTGCAAGATAAAATAGGTAAAAACCTTGAACACATAGGTGTGGGCAAGGACTTTCTGAACAGAACTCCAATGGCACAAAAACAAGACAAAACAAAAGGGGCCGGTGAGATGGCTCAGTGGAATAAGTGCTTCCCTGGCAAGTGCAAGGGCCTGAGTTCAATCCGTGGTTCTGCCAAAAAAAGAAAGAAAGAAAGAAAGAAAGAAAGAAAGAAAGAAAGAACGAACGAACAGAACCAACAGATGGGATAACAAATTAAAAAGCTTCTGTTCAACCAACAGAATAAAGAGGCAGCCCACCAAATGGAAAAATTTGTCATCTATTCTTCAGACAGAAGACTGACAAATAGAATATATACAGATTCAAAAAATTAAATCCCCAGTACTGTAAAGAAAATTTTTCTTCACCTAGGAAAGAAAAAAGAAAAATACCACCACTACCACCACCACAAATAATCTCAAAAACAGAAAACAAAGCAAAACAAAAAGGATTAACTGATTTCAGATCAAATTACCAAAAGGATTCAACTTGGATCTAGCTAACAATGTGCAAGAATTACTGAGGACAAAGAAACACACTGAATGGAACACAAGTTTGCAATCAGGAGAATTCAGGTTGTAGGAAATATACAGATCTGACTCACGATATAACCAGATAAATTATAAGAAAGGAATGAAGCGAAGAAAAACCAAGAGATTTATTTAACATTCTTTTTATGGTCAAGATGATAAGGCACAAAAGTATGTATTTAAAAGGCAGGGAAGGAATTATTATGGTTTAGACTAAAAATGTCCCCCAGAAGCCTCATGTGTTCAGAGGTAGGGCTTGCAGAAAGACTGGATTATGGGAGTGCCACAGCCAACTCACTAGTAGAAGCTGGGGTCCAGTCAAAAGCAGCAGGTTGCTAGGGGAATGACCTAGAAGGAAACTGCTCCCTCCCAGGTTCCTCCCTTTTCTCTCTTTCACGGCCTCCAAGGTAACCAGCTTTGCTCTAGCCAGCCCATTCCACCATATGATTTCTATGTTTTTGGAGCTGATGAAGCATGGGCCAAAACTTTGGAAACTGTGCCAAAATAAATCTCTCCTCCTTTAAGTTGTAGGTTTCAGGTATTTTGTTCTAGCAATGAAAAAGTAACTAAAACATCAGGAGAGTGGCAACTAACAGGAGCACAGGAGCTAGGGCAGTGGAGGAGTTCCAGCACACTGTGTGGTACCATCTTATCATTCATTAAGTTATACATTCTGTATATGAGAGTTTTGTCTTATTTCATAAGAAAAAATTCATTCTACAGTAAAAACATTTTGCCTAAATAAAATACTAACCAAAAGAAAGCTGGTATAGGGCTGGCGAGATAGCTCAGCAGACTAAGAGCCTGCAAGTGCAGGGACCAGAGCTTGATCCTGGCACTGTATGCCATGCTGGCCCCGCCCCCGAGTGTGCTGAGTCAGCCACTGAGACTGGGTGGCAATCCCAGGGCTGGGGAGGCTGAAAACAGGAGAATCCAAACTGTGTAGTGAGACCCTGTACCAAATACATTAAAAAAAGAAAGAAAGCTAGTATAGCTCTGTGTACATACACACGAGCCAAGAAAGCACTAATCTAATAATTTAATTTCCTCGTCAAAAAAATAAGGACAATAAAAGTAATTAGATCACAGTACTGTGAAGATCAGAAGAGTTCACATAGAAAGAACACAGAACAGGGCCAGTCAGATAGTTCAGAGGACCAAAGCGCCTGCTTAGGCAGGTGCAGGGACTAGGCTCAATCCCCAGCGTGCCATGCCAGCTGCACCCCCAGAGCACACAGAGACAGCCAATGGGATTGGGCTTGGTGGCACACACCTGTAATCCTAGCACTTGGGGGGCTAAAAAGAGGAAAATCACTACGAGTCTGATCTGTATAGTGAGATCCTGTAGACCCTGTACTAAATAATTTTTTTTTCCTAAATAATTTTTTTAAAAAATGTGACAAGCCACTTAAAGAACATAGAACAGTGTCTGGCATACATAACAAATCTGGTGGTTAGAGTTGGTGATCATCAGTATTTATTGTCTGAAGTAGTGAGTTATTCCCTAAGCTTCAGTTTCCTTACAGAGATAAATATTTACCTGACAGGATTACTAGGAAGTAAAAAATAAAATATGTAATATATCTAGCATAATATTCAGTGAACAATGAATTTTTCCCATGACCTTCCAATATCTAGTCACCTGTCCCATGAGACATACCTCAGTCATTGCACATTCCTCTTGCACTTTATACCTGGTCATTCACATTATCTCAATGAAATGATCACCCAATGAGTCTCATGTTCGAAACTGGATCTTCATCTAGATTTTCAAAATGATACAAATCAGAATTTTGAAAGAGTCAACCTGTTAGTAAGAACGGCCTTGTGTTAGTCTCAGGTATCTGTGGCATCTGAGGCCACAGGTGTCTGTGGTTCTGGTATTCACCAAACCAAAAGCCGAACCACTACAGTAACTGTTAATGGCCTCCACGGTTCCCTACCATATCATATGCCTCCTACCTTCTCTTTTTTCCCCTTTCTAGCGTTCTTCTCTCTGTTTTGTTGAAACATTTTCTGGGCATCCAAGTCAATCATCATTTGGGATTATGGGCTTCAAAGGTAGAATAGCTCACTCATAAGAGCACTAAAATGAAGCACTCACAGATACAAAATGTGACTGACCACAAAGCATAAGCAGGCTAATGGTTTGTGTCTAGATGTACTCAGAGAGCCTCTTGTGGCCACAGGGCTTTTTTTGGAGGTGGCTGATTCTAGAGTACATGTTTGATTCATAGTGTAATGCTGGGATTAGGGGTACTATTGCTGGAATAGATCACTGACTACAGGAGTCGGGGATGACAGGTAAATTTGTATATGGCATGATGGTAAGAAACCTTTTAGAGCTTTCAGTGATACAAACTGCCACCAGGTGTGATGGCATATGCCTATAATCCCAGCACCTGGGAGGGTGAGGCAG